CTCTATGACACCCTTTTACTTCTTCTGACTGTCCATTTGCCACAGTTGCATGTCAGTTACACCCCGCAGAATTTTGAAAAGAGAGCTCTTAAGATGTCACTTTAAATTAGAGCCAGGATTTTGAACAAATAAGTTATTTATATTCTTGATGTAAATTTCAATAGCCTGCTGAGACTTACTTTGCCCAGGCAATCTTCTCTGTCACGAAGGTAACTTTAACTGTGAGCAAATTTTTATGTTATCATATTTAGAAAAATATATAAAAAGACAAAAGAAAAACAACCACCAATTATGTTAGACAGGATGACTGATAGTAGATCCTTACTTCATTCTCTTACAGTTGAGCAAACCCTTTACAAAGCAGAAATCTCAGTTCTAAAAGGTCACTATTAAAATAAATACCAGGCTTCCCATAGAAGCTGCAGGAGGCTGTTGGGTTCCTTTTCCTGTTTAGAGGAGCTTGTAATTTAATTGTAGAAAGCAGGACAAATGGAAGCAAGATTTGCAGAATTAGTCCTGTGAAACAAGTGTTACTAATTCTTATAGTCATTCTGTGTTCTTAAGGCTGTACTGTATTCCCAGGGGTGTTTTGGGGTAGTGCTAGGCTCTGTTGGAGAGTAAATCCTGTAAAAGGACAGTGAGAGGAGAAGAAATCAGCCCAGAAGAGACGGTGGCAAAAGGTAAGAATATTGACCCTGGGGAGAGGATAGAGAGCAGTGCTTGGAGTGTTCTGCCAGAGCTACAGTCCCAATATTCAGAATAGGAGCAGAAGTCAGTTGCCTGACCTAATTTCTGAAAATGTCACACAGTAGGTCTTTGGGCCTGTCAAAGCAGCAGTTGCACTTCCATCGGTTCCGAGCAGCTGAACAGCATCAGCTGGGTGGTGATTTTGCTGGGGTAGTCCCAAAGAGGATTCTGAAAGATCTCCATCCTGAAAAAGGCTGCTGTTTCTGTTGAGGTTCAAAGCCTTAGCAAATGGTCAAAGGCTCTAGGTTTGCTCTGAGGGTGATGTGTTGTCAGAGGAGTCAGGGTTTTATTAACTTAGTGTAATAATTTGAGAAGTGCTGACTTTAAAGTCTCTGGAAAGCCAAGGTCTTGAGTCACCTATAGAGATGAAACTTGGTTGTATGTGTTGCTTCAGGCTTCTTACAGCTTGAGAACTGAGCCCTCAAGTTCCCTGGCACCTACAAAAAGAATAGATATGATAATTTCAGTGTCTTGGCTAAATTTATGGAATAATTGCATTCAGCTTATCTAAATTCTCCTCTCTCATATGAGTTGGTTGAGATATTCTCAGTTTTCTTTTTTCATGCTATTGTTTACTTTTGCTGAATGTGTTAAATGTGCTGCTGGTTTTTGAATCTGAAATTGTCGTATCCTGGTGCTAACTGAAATGTTCCAGAGTATACGTAACCGTTTGCAAATTACTTTGACATGCTTAAAAATAGTGAACCATTGTATCATTATGTTTTTGTCATATTGTGGGGAAATTTTCATAAAATCTTGATTCTTGCTTTAAAATGTACTTGGATAGGCCATTTATGAATACTTACTGTGAGATTTTTCAGATGCAAAACAGAAGATGGATGAAATGAACCTCATTTTCTTTGTGTAAGATATGGAGATGAATTCCCTAAACTGAATTAAGTTTGCTCTGTGGGTCTGGGATGGATATACAAAAGTTTAGTGTTTTGACTACATAGGCAGTTTTGACAAGATTGTTGCATTACTCAAACTGAAATGTCTTCACAAAATATTTCTTAGCTCTCCAAAAGTCTAGGCAAGTCACTCATTTGAATCTTATCCTCTGTTGGTTAAAATGATTAGAAGTGGTCTACTTTGAGAACTATATACTCAGTATATTAAGAACAGAATACTGAATATATCTTTACAGATTTTAGAGAAGCTTTCAAGAGGATCCAATTGCTTTTGTATCCTAAATCTGTATTGACTGTGTTTCATTTTGATTTATGCATTGTCTTGTTTTTGTCTTACCTTTCAGTTTGTATTCTAAGTTGGAAGAGATCCTCCTTGATGTATTTTGTTTAGTCAACAAATGTGTGTAGCTTGTGATAGGCATCGATCGTTCACTGAGAGTACCCTCTTTACGGTAGCCTACCCTGATTTTGTCACCTGTGTTTTGGGTGTCGCCTGTATTTTTCAGTTGATGAGGCCAAAGCAGTGAGGAGACACCAGCAGATGAATTCCTCTGCATCTCTGGAAAGACTGTGAAGATTGTGATTGCTCACATTTAAGAAAAAGATTTATTTCCAGTGAGGTTACATGCTTCGTCTATTGCACAAGCTGTGGCCTTGAGAACCAATGGCCTGAGTTTCTTGTTTTTCTTAGTACCCAGCTGGGAAGGTTCCTAGGAGGGAAGGTTCCTAGGAGTGCCCTCTGTCATGCCTCCCTGTGCAACAGAGTAAACCAGCCTTCCTGCATGGTTTCGTGGTAGAGATGCATGGCTCCAGGAAAGGAATGTAATATAAACCAGACCAGAGAGAACAACAAAAATATCATTTTCATTTACTTTTATATTTCATTATATTCACCAAGACCCTAATTCTACATTCTCACATGTAAATTAATTTCTTTTTTTTGTCAGTACTGCAACGAAATGAAGAAAGCAGTTGGCAGTGGCCAGTACATACTCACTCGCTTCATTTTTGAGTCTTCTATACATCTACTCAGTATGAGGATCAGATTTGAAGTTAAACAACCAAATAAATGTTAACATCTTCTATATAATAAACATAAAACAATGAAAATTCTCTAGGACTGCAGACCTTGATGTTGCGAACATTAAATAACTTTAGGTAATTTTTAGGTAATTTAATTTAGGTAAATTAAGTATAAAGTAAGTAGAACATGTTCATTAATGGAGTAATTCATCATATGTTGGGCCAGTTCACTTGCAGAAATAAGATGAATAGCTGCAGAAGCTGAAAATGACTTTTGAATGAAGATGACATTAAATTTGCAGGAAATAACTCAAACATAGTTTCTGCTGTTTCTTTTCATATATTCAGGAATGCTAAATAACAACCGGGAAAGATTTATATATTCTTTATATATTTATATATATAATAGATATATATTCTTTGAGACTTCTGGTCCATTTTAAAATTAATCAACAGCTGCTAATTGGATAGCTTGATTAAAAATACAGGGTGTCCCAAGTATCTTCTGTGGCAAGCAAGCTTAACAGTATTGATCTTTACTCATAAATTTCTCATGGTGCTGTCTAAGAACTTATATATCTTAAAATATTCATGTGAGTAAACGTAAGCTGCAGGAATTTAAAGATGGTATTTGGCTCCATAGGATCTTTTACTGTAAGGAATCTTGTCTGATGTGCATATTTTGAGATTCTGATGGACATCCTACTATTGTGTGCATGATTTCCTATGAGCAGTAGTGAGATTGTATTTTTTTGGAATTAGTACACTGAGATATGATTTTAGCTTTGGAGCCAAAGATATGATTTGGAGATCTTTAAAACCCGCTTGGACGCAGCCCTGTGCCCCGTGCTCTGGGTGACCCTGCGTGAGCAGGGGGTTGGACTAGATGACCTCTGAGGTCCCTTCAACCTGAAGTATTCTAAGATTCTGTGATATATTGGAAATAGTAAGAACCTAGTCATGCACTAGATTTGTATGGAATTGACACAAGGAAGAAGTGAAAGATTTTGAATAATCAGAGAGTTGTAGGAGAATGAAGGAAAATCACTGCAAAATCAGTGAGAAAAGAAAGGAGTAGAGAAAAAATGTCAGTAATATAAAATGAAAAAATGAAATAGGTGAGAAGCAGGAAAGGGGGCACAGTCTCAGTCATCCAGACTCTTTGAGCAAGTTAGGCCTTCCGTTTTATAAACAGGAAATCTCAACTTTAGCGAAGAGGCAGCTGGATGTACAAGATGGAGAAGTGTTGCACTACAAAGGAACAGCAAAAATCAGAAAGCTGAGGAAGAAGGAAGAGTCTAAATTGAGTAAAAATTAAGAACCTTCAGGCAACGAGATTACCTCATGGGAGCAATATTGGAATGGGTGGGGGAAACAGTAACTTATTCTGGAGAAGACAAAAATAAGGCAAAGCTGTTCGGATGAAAATGAAAGACAAGTGAATTGTCTGTGATAATTATGATATACTGCATTTTGTTGTAATTGTTGTTAAAAGATACTGATAATTTTTGGTCAAGAGCAATAATGTTAGAAAACCTTAACTTGTGTGACAAAGTATACTTTAAACGTATGTGGAGATGAAAATTTTAAGAATAAAGTAGTTCTCACATGAAGTCTAGTACTGTAAAATCTAGAATTTCTCCACAGCTATTTATAAAGGTAATACATTTTTGCAGCAGACATTTTAAATGTTTAACTTCTGAGATAGTATGAATTGTTTATCACTTGAGGCAGAGCCAGTAATTCAGATTGAGTTATATTTTAAGTAAGTACATCATTCTAATCAAAGTAAACAGTAAATTATATGAATAAAGGTAGTTTCTGGAAAAATATTTTTGCTTCAGAATATGACAGTGTTTAAACAGGATAGTGTCAGTGACTATATAAAAAGCTATTGTGCATGCTGTACATAATGAAACAGTGTAATAATATATGCATCAGTCTAGAACTTTCATGGCAGATGTTTTTCTTTCAGGGCACCTGTGACGACTGAAATTGGCTCCTACTATTTTGATTCATTTTTGTGGAATGCTTTTTGCTAATGAGGAAAAGCACAACAGAGCAACAAAAAATATATGTTTGCATGGGGGAAATGCATGGGAGATATTCAATATTCAGCTATTGTCTGTGATGTCTTATAGAGTGTATAATATTAATCATAGCATGAAGTGATTCACTATAGGAAGACAAGAGATAAGAACACCCAGTTAATTACTGAGTGAAAGGGGATCAGGGCTTCAGTATTCTCAGTGTAGGGAAGGGATATCTTATTTGCTGGACTGATCTGTTTGATCTGTTTACTGGTTTGCCATTTTCCAGGTGCAGCTAAAAACCAACATTTCAAGTCAGTATGTAATTCGTACACAGCCAACAAACACTTGTCTTTCTACCCTTGAATGTGCAGCTATTGCTCTCACAATTATGGAAAAAAATAACAGCATACAAGAGGTATGTAACTAATATAAAACACTGGATTTTTTTGTTATGGATTGCACAGGGGTGGCAAAGTTAGTATCAATATCATATTTGACAAACCAAATGTTGAAAGCTATATAATAGTCATGTTTGGTAGTAAACTAAAACGAGTATACTAATAAAAGCTATTTTTTGTTGGATATTTATGAACTCTCTAATATAATCAGATTGTTATTACTCTCCCCTAGGATATTTCAGAGTATCTACACTCTTTCTAGGCTTATTCTACATTGCAGTCAAACTATTGAGGGAAACTAAGATAAAATGCTCGTGATTTTTATTTTGCTATTTTTTTCAGTGGATTAAATTGTGATTTAATTAATTTGAATGGCATCTTTTGTTATGAGGAGTTATTTGAAGATAAACTTGGGCAAGACTCAAGGACAAAAATCTTGCTTGGTTTATATTTAAAGTGGTAGTTAGTATATATCTCTTGTAACAAAATGGTGTTGATGTGACCTCAGGGTTGAATACAATACTCAGTGGATTGATCTAATGGATCAATCTTACCTTAGGCAACATGTTTGAGTATGGAACAGTAGAAAGCAAATACGTTACCAACTTTCACCTTGTGTTCTATTTTCCTCACATCTATGCCAAAACAGAGAGAAGCACTGTTGTGTGTGCATAGAAGAAGCACTGTTGTATGTGTAGCAGAACAAATAAGAACATGGCTTAGAGGTGTTTCTTCCTGTAGTGGTTTTCCAGAGTTCACTTGATGCTTTTACTGCACAATTTAGAAATAACATAGTCTATGTTCATGGCATTGTGATATACTGAATTGCAGTAAGTTGTTGATACATTTTAAACATTTTTCTTCACTTATTTCATAGCTATAGCTTATCAAAAAAAAGTTTATGTACTACTTCAAAAAACTGTATGCTTAATGTGTAGTTGTAATATGTAGAATTTACATATTGTACTCTTATGCTGACAAAGTAGTATTCAGTCTAAAATTATTATTAGTATTTTCTATTATCAGAAAAATACTAGTAAAATTATTGTTCTGTTACATACCTTTCCTGCAACCAACTTGTGATCATTTATTTCAATAGTGACTCAGTGACACTGACATATGACAAATCTATGTTTGGAATGACATTTATGTTGAATCTTGAAAGCTTTATGCTTTTTTGGCATTTTAGTATTTTCTTATGTTAGATGAAATGTACATCAGATTAAAGCCAGTCTTTTCATCTTGTACATGCTACATCCTATACACATACACATATACAAGTGTATATATACCTTTGTGTATATATGTGTAAGTAGCCCTCTTTCCCTAACAAGCTTTATTTAGTATGAGTACAAAATAGAAACATTGAAGTTTTTGTAATGAGTAGTTATGTAGTCTAATAATGGGGAATAGAATTATGTGAGTTACTGTCAAAAAAAAATCCCAAGAGCCTTTAACTAAAGCAGTTTTGGATAGATTTTTTTTTTTCAAAGAAAAAGTATTTCTACCATTTAGGAAAACTTAAACTTTGGAAACTAGCATCCACAGAGATTCTATTCTTCATAATTAGAATTTTCAAATACTTAACTGCCTTTTAAAAAGTTTACAGGTAATTTACTTAGGCGTGGTTTGGATTCAAAAATACTAGACTGATAAATATAATTGAGAATGGCTGCTGTTAGAATCTTAAAAAGTTAATGTAGTGACCTGCTATGATTCATTTCCTTAGTAGATATTGGTTTCGTAACATTGAAGTCAAATAATTTATTAATAGATAAATATTTTAAATGCTCTTCGAAAACCAAATCACATCAAGATGATCTTTAGCTCTTAGTAAACAGAAGCTGATCAATTTCAAAATAGGCAGTTAAGTATTATTACATGGAAAGTAGTATTTCTTTCTTTCCAAATATGTACAGCAAGATGAAGATTGAAGACAAGCTGGTTTGTGAGCTTGTCCTGCTGATTGCCAGCACCTTAGGAAATGCAACTTGGTGGCTTGCATGTTCATTCTTACTACTCCTTACATATGTTGTCATTGGAAAAATATGGAATGTAACTACTTAAGTTTATTCCAAATTTAAGAATGCTTGTGTTGTAAACCTTTTAGAAATGAGCTGAGTAATAGTCCAGAGGAGTTCTATAGGAGTTCTATAGGAACAAGTTGCAAGCTTATCTGTGTATTTCCTGCATTCTAGTATCTGCTGAAGGTCTTCATATACTCCATCGTAATTATAAATAGTTAATGTTTTGGTACTTGACCCTCAAAAAGATTGCTTTTGTAATTGCCTTAATGTAGAATAGACCTTTCTTTCCCCTTTTTTTCTTCAGTGATGCTTCACTTTTTTCAAGGATTATGGGAGAATCCTGTAAGTGGTAGTTTGCCCTATGACACTAGTCACCTGAACACTAAATTGATCATCTTTTGAACAACACTATGATGCAATGACTGGCTACACAGGAAAATGTGGCTCAGAAATTTGAAATATGGATAAAGAAACTTTCTCAAACTTGTGTGCTTCATACTTCTGTAAGCTGATATATGCCTTTATGCTGAAAGAAGGTAGTTATTTTAGAAGTCACATACAAGAAAATGACAGATTTTGCAGTTAAGGTGGGATTTCCATATTTAGTATTATTTCCCTTGATGTACGAGGACAATGTAGGCATAATTTTGCCTCATTAGGGCTACTGTCTCGCACATGCTCAAGGGGAGGACTTCCTTAGTGCATACGACTCCGTCTTGCGCTTTCTTTTGTTCCGACTACTTGGTATTTGTTCAAACCTGCCTCTCAAGGACAAAATTGTCTCAGGAGGATTTCTACAAATGTTACAATACCAGGGAAATTCGTAAACATTGGTGACCTCTCAATAACCTTTCTATATTAAGTTAGAGTTGTTATTACCAGCATAAAAAATGCTTCATTGAGGTCCAGAAAAATGGAAGTTAGAATAAACGATTAAATTGGTGCCAAGTGTGGGTCACTAGGCTTTTCACTGTAGGCAAAGTCATGTTTTTTTGATTAAGTTCAGCTCCTACTCACTTTGTTTTCATGTATGATTGTTCTACACATCTGCACATCAGGCCTAGTAATAAGCCTTGCATCCAGGAATTTAAAAAGCTTCAATTAGGAACTATTTGAGATAAGTCTGTTTAATTAGACTTATATAATATCGGGGGGCAAATAGGGATGAAATCCAGAAATTATAATTAGTGTTTTTGATAATAGTACTCAAATACAAATGCAAATAGTACTCAAATACAAAAGCTGGAATAAATGATTCCTGTGTCATGACTTCCTAAGAAGTTGAGTTTTTTGTCTCCCCCTTTTTTCTGCAGACTATACTCCGTCCACTTCAAGCATTATGTTCTTTCCAGCTTCAGCATGGTGCCCAGATCCATCACAGCAAAGAGCATCTCCTCAGAAATGGCCTATATGACAAGCCTATGCCAAAGAATAAACGCAAACTCAGAAGAATGGAACTTTTGGTAAATAATGTTAAAATATAGGAAAACTATGCTGATAATACAGTGGAATTTATTTGAAGCTAACAAATGAATGAGTCTGGACTTAAACCACACAGCCATTTTTAGTGGTTGATTTTTCATTCTGCAGAAGACGAGGTGCCTTTCTTCAAATCTGAAAAGAGCATTCTTCTTATTTCCTGATTAAGGAAAAGAAAATCTGAAAATAATTGAAAATTATGTTACCTCTTGGTTGAAAAGTGACTCAGCATGACTCGATAAATATACTTTAAAGAAGCTTTTGGTAGTACTGAAAGCTATTTGAACTTAATTGCAATGGTAGTGCTTAAGCATTTAGACGTATGTTGATTTTCTATCGAAAAAAATTAGTATCTAATTACAATAAATTTTCAAACATTAAATTCCTTATTTCAACTGAGCATAAGACAATATTTGTATAATTTTTTAAATGTTGAGACTTCAATTTGTTACACTGTTAGGATTTCTTTTTGTAAATTTATACGCATCTTATAATGTCATTCTAGTTTGTTCCTCTGATGCAAGATAAACCCATATATATTTTAATGGAACCTGAACACTTCAAATGTAAATTGGAAGGATGGGGTTATTGAACGTAGAGATATGATTATTGTAATTACAACTCAGGTTCTTCACATTTTAGTTGAGCAAAACTATTTGTATCTGCATAGGGAAGGTAAGATACAGGTGTGTGTGGTGTGTGTGTGTATGTAAAATATATATATGTATATACACCTATAGTTATCTTACAACAGTTATGATATTAAAAGGATTAAACAAGCCTGAAGTGACAGTCCATTTGGAAGTATCACGTAGTGGCAAATGATTATTTCTGGATACAAGCTGCTAACATGTTTAGTTTTTCACTTCAATCCCAAATGTAACTGTGTGTCTTTCTAATGAGAAGCACTATCTAGCAAAAGAATTGTTTTTTTCTATGAGCTCTGTGAAGTAACGTTTTATGATCTGAAAGAAAAGAAAGGTGAAATAAAGGCTTTGGTATTCCTTCATATTCATAAAAGCCTCCTTCATTAAATGGATTAAATGCTTAATATTTATCTTTACTGTCAGTTTCACTCTAGCCAATACCATAGAGCTAATCAAGTTCTAATTAGTCAGACCACAAAGATTTTAATTTATGACCAGCAAGAAAAGAAGCTATAGAAGTGGGAGTGTAAACAAAGCTCACTAATATATTAACTTGAAAGTTTTTCTGCAGTTAACAGCTGAGGTCAAAATTAGGTCAGAGATTAGCTGGTAAATTTTAACTAACCCTGGGCTGACAGTGACCTTTCATTTAGGCATGGATTAGCAATTTGATTTGTCTGTGTGTGTTAGCAAAGTTTATATAACCTTGTTCTCCTCTTCAGGTCTAGATAAATCCTGTATCTTTCACTAAGATCACTAACTTGAATTGGTTTTGACAAATCTGAAGCAAACAATCTAATGTGATTAATTGCAGTGTGGACCCACTGCGCACTGGAATGGATGAAGGGCACCATTACTCCTGTCGTGCAGGAGCACAGTACAGGATGACAAGCTGGAGATGCTCAGTCTCATGCAGTTTGTGTGTGCATGGGGTGTGTGATGCTGCCCTCTGCTCCAGGTGCCCAGGGCTGCTCTTGAGGTGCAAATCTGTTTCCTGCATGGAATAGACATGTGTGAGCACTCCAGATACAGAAAAACAGGATGTCAGGGTTGGTGTTAATGCCACGTTTACCTTTTCGGAAGAAGTTTCTACTTAATGTTGTATTTGTTAATTTGGTTTGCTGTGCTTTAAACTCAACTACAACAATAGTACATCCTTCAACCTATGTTGTGAATGTTACTTTTCTTCACAGAGGCAAATTAGGTCTTTTCATAAAATACGAACTTGTATTGTGAAGAACAAAAGAAATTTATATTACTGCCTGGGCATAAGACATCTGCAAAATTCCCTAGAATTGCAGGATCAAAAAAATAGTTAATTGAGTTATAATCCTGCATTAAGTTCTTTTGTGTGCATAATCTGTGAGTTCAGAGGTTTCATGTCATTCAGCAAAGGACAAATTTCACAGTACTCATAGAAGCAGACTTTATGAATGTGAATAGTCTTGGTTGAGATTATTACTTTATTTTCTCCTGTGGTTAACAGGATTTGTAAGATTGTAGTACTGGGCACATGGAGGCCTTTAATTGCAACTTCCTTATGTTCTACAGTACCAGAAGATGATCTCTATGCAGTAGCTGCTGAAGGAATGAAAATTAATTCTCTGTTAATCTCCAGACATTTTATTTTTTTTAGGATTTACCATTTAGGTTTGACCATTAAGGTGCAACAGAGTAGTCAGTCCCAGTCATGAAATTCAATCCCAGATTAAGGATTTGTTTGATGCTATTCTAAGCATATTTTTTCCCTTAATTTTTGGAAGAACTTGTGTGGCTTTAAATATATATATGCACATATATGCACATAATATATATATAGTAGAAAAATGTATTTAAGACTTAAGAAGGTATTTCCAAGTCTTGAATTCAAGTGTTATCTCTAAATTACCCCAAAGAAATGGGTATTCCAAATTCTTTACTCTTAGGAAGAGGTTGTGTTTGAAGAAATAGCAATCTTTGCAAGCATTTTCATTAGAATGAATTTAATTAGCAGTTTTATTTTGTGCTTTAACGGTCAATCAGTTTCAGATTTTACTTATTGAAAGATTATCGTGTCAAAAGCAGCAGTCCGACAAGATACTGAATAAAAATGAGTTTTCTTTGTGCAGTTCTTTGTTCTTGTTCACTGGTATTTCCAATACTGAAATCTGCTTTCTATGTGCTACTGTGCCGTGATGTGGGAACTCAGTTACGTGGATGGGCTCCTGAGCACATCTTGCAACACTTTAGCAAAGGTGGGAATTCTAAAAACTGTAGATTTTTGTAATCTTTAAAATGAAGCTAAAAAAAAAAATTAAATTAAATAAATAAATCAAGAAATATCTTAGGCTAAGAACACACACACAAAAAAAGCATTTAATTAGAAAACTTCAAAATGAAACTTAAAAGTGACTCAGGACAAACATAAATTTCTTCTTGTCTTAAGGATTTTACTCATTTCCTAACAAAGCCATTGAAATTCTAGCTGAAGGATAGTGTTCAGGTACTACCAAGCAGTTTCTTTTTATTAATTTTCTGTTAATACAGTTAAAGAAAACCTAAACGTTTAACTGTCTTCAGAATGGGCAAAATTTATTTTTAAATATTTTAAGCATTTTCTTCTCAATTGAAGTTAAAAACAACTCATGTGTTCTTTTTGAGTGTTCCTGTTTTTTAAAAAACTTAATTAAAGCTAGACATTTAAAAGTATCATGGCCCATGTTTTTCTTTGTACCTACACAAATGAATGCACATAAGTTACATATTTGGTTTTGCTTTGAAGACGTTTGCTACCATCACAAGAATGTAAGCCAAATCCAGTGCTGTGGCTTTGTGTATCAGTAACTCTAGTAAGTGTGAGAAGTGGCTCCTCTTGTGTCTTTCTTTTATGCATCAAGACCTGCATGAAGGCTAAAATTCTCTTGATTTAACAGAGCTCAAACTTTTCAACTTCAGAGCTTACTTCTTGATGTCAGTACTGATTGCTACCTTGTATTTCTCACCCATAAACCTGTTTGTGTTCCTGTCCTCTAGCATCACCAAGTGCTGCATCTCCGGTACAGTGTCCTGTTAGGAATACCTCATATTCCTCATCTTTACCCTTTCATTCCCCAGATTCTCACCCGCAGGTTCTGACAAAGCTGATTCTGCCTTCGTGGAGCCTTTCCTTGTGCTCTTCCTTTCTGGTGATAGCATCAGGGCTGTCCTAACAGCTTGGCTTATTTGCAGGCTGTGTGGCAGAGTGTCTGCTTTGTTTTACTTGTTTAAAATGCACTGAAGTATTCTTTGCACTATTTATTTTCTAAAACATGCTTATCATTTTGTGTGTGTGTGTCTGTGTCTAAGTGAGAAGACACATTTACCACCAAGCAGCAGAAAATTTCCTGTACCTATGGGGTAGTGATGCTTATAGCACAGTTTCTGCTTACATATATGTGTGTGAATATATATGTGTATACACACAGCACTTGGTCTGGGTGGAGTCTGCTTGCCTGCATCCTGCACATCTTGTGTCATGGACACAAGAGCAGATGCTTAGCTAGAAGTAGCTTTGAGCTGTTCTCTCTACCTCTGTAAGTTATAAATAGAAAACTTAGTTTTCTAGTAAACCATATGCGCTGCTGAGGCCTTGGGTAAGGGCAGGTGACAAATTTTAATTGTTAAAAATGAACTAAAAGTGGGATGTCCTATGGCATGTGAAGGATTCTTCAAGCAAAGTCATCTGGGCTTGAATGTTGGGATTAACTCTTAGTAGCTAAGATACACACTCTTGTTTACACAAATATTTTAATATCTGTTAAGAAAAATGTACTCCATGTGTTAGAGCAGAGTAGTGGAACAACTTACAGAATTTGGCAAATGAATAAAGTGTACCTGTTTTTGCATGTGCACATACATATCACTTCATTTATTGATACATATCACTTCATTTATTGATACATATCACTTCATTTATTGATACATATCACTTCATTTATTGATATGAATAATTCATATATTGATATGAATATATCAATTATTGATAGTTAATACCAAATATTAAACAGTTTCTTTAAGTATATTATTACCTTAATATTAAGTAATGATTATTGATTTTAGTTTCATGTCCTTTCTATGCAAGACTTCTATGAACATTAGAAAATACAATAGATGGTTACATGAAAGACATCATGTCAGCTTTTTCTTCTTTTTATTGACTTTGTTGAAAGATGGGCCATATACTTACTGTGAACTTACAGTATCACTTACTGTGATTAAATATTGGCTGAACTGAGGTCTGAATTTGAGCCTTTTTTGTAATTTTTAGAAGTGGACATTGAGGAAAAGGGCACTATAGTATATTTATCAAGTTATTACAGCTTACTGTACTGGAAAATGAGGAAAACTAAACCCACATAAATACGATTTATATAATTTTCCCTAGAAAGAATGGATGGGTTTACTATTTGCCTAAGCATGTGTATGCAGCAGGATTTTTATTTGTCATTTTATTGAATGTAATGAAATTAAGCAGAACTCGTTGTCGTTTCATTCTGAATTGTATGAATAATGGCATTTGTTAACAGGAGGTGATGATAGTCTTGTATTAGGTATGAATACTTTTGATTTGTCACCTTTACTCAGATGAGTTTTTTGTTTTGGGGAGACGTGCTATTAGACAAAGTGTGTATTTTGATTGATGTGAAATTAGTTAGAGTCTTGTTATGTTTTGTTTTATTAAGCTGCCTTCCTGAAAATAATCAGCAGTTCTTTGTTTTATCTGGTTGATCTTCCCGTGAACAATAAGAGTTTCACTTTCTCTAGCAGGGCAAACTCAACTTTTGTATCTTCCCGAGAAATGCAATCATGCCCACTTTTCCATCCGATCATGTTCTGGTTTTGACCTGGTGGTCTCAGCAGAGTCAAAAACAGTGTTCTGCAGACCTACTTCAGCATTGTTGGGGCACTGTGTGTAGATGGTACTAGCTAGAAAAGCGAAGACAGTTTGAATATGTTTCTGATGCTTTTTCTATTCAAGAGCTTTGTTTGAAGTGGGAAAAATAAAAAAATCTTGTATTTGTCAAATGGTAAAGGAC